TGGTCTCCGGGACGCGGCGGTGTCAGAGCGCATTAGGTCATACACGGCCCTGCGTCCTGCCGGGGGTCGGGGGTTTGTTCTAGCGGGAACCGGCGCGCAGCCCTGTTTCCGAGTTCGGGTGTGAATACCTGCCCTTGGCTCGGTGTCTTTTCAGTGGAGGCAAGTGGGTAACTCCAGCTTAAACGCTGGTGTAACCGTTAATGACCGCTGGAGTCCTCCAAGGTTAAGGCAGAATTTCACTTTAACACAGAATTTAAGTAAGACTGCTTGTTATGGAAGTGGTTGTCTGCGCTGTTTTAGTTCCCAGAATGTACAAACTGTAAAAAGGTGAGATTTTAAGGTTTTTTTCTGTACGCCATGCAAAAATACTCTAGCCTACTTGGGAAACATGTAACTGCAGCACGAGGGGCTGCGGTCAAAATCATAGAATCATTTAGGCTGCAGAAGACCTTTAAGTCCAACCATAAATGGCTTAGGAGTACCAGAAAGAGAAATTTTAGTTCAAGTCACTTATTAAAGCAATACATTCTTAAGTTTGCACAATACATCATGCTCCAGTTGAGGTGGTTCACCTCACCCACAAGGAAAAATACAGCAGAAGAGCAACTTCCTTTAACTGCCATGCAGCTTGCAGCACAGACCTATATTTCTTTAACTGCAGTTGAAGAATCTTCTTCAGCTATAGCTACAGTATTATAAAACATGCCCCTTAAATCAGAATTAACTATAGATGTAGGACCAAAGGCTACCAGTCGAGGTAAGACCTTGAACATCATGGTTAGCTGCCTTGAACATTGCGGGGGGAGGGGGTGAATGTCTATGTCTTTTGATTACAGCAACACCCTGAAGAGGTGGGTGACTGAAATGCATCTAGAATCTTCTCGAATCTTCGGTTCTGTTAACCTGATCTAACATTCTCAGGTATTGCAGATACACTTAGTGGAAAGACAGGGAAGCAACAATTTAGCAGTTATTTGTTGCAGACTTGCAGATCTACGTGCTTGATAGATTTTTATGATAAACTATTTATGGTTGAAAAAAATCTGACATGAATGTTCTTGCACATCTATCCTGTGCAGCTTCTCTCTAGACAAGGTGTATACCAGCAAGAGGCTTCCAGAGGAATAGTAATGTATGTTCTAGTTAATCTGCATTTACAAGGAAGGGTTACATCATCAGTGTGATATTCAGCCTTCTGTTATTATTGTTTAACCCCAGGAATACAGGCAGTGGAAAGGTTAAATAACTTTACCTTTAATTATATTCATTGTTATAAATTATATGACTATACTTTTTATACTTAAGGCAAATTGCTTTTTAACTAACAATAAAGAACAATGAAGCTGCTTGACTGGTTTTTGTGCAGTAAGCACTTCCTGCTCTTGGTGCTTATTGTTTTTAAAGTAAGCAATAAAATCTTGGCTGCTTTCCTTCATGTCACTTAAAAACCGGGTACACCTTTCTCAAATGCAGCTGAGGCAAGAGTTGCAATTACTGCAGGTCTGGAAGGCATTTTGTATATTTCTATGGTAGCATCACTTATTACTCATTGACTTAATGAACATAGCAAATACAGCATCTCTGTGTCATTTTAACAACTTGTGCAGCCATACTGAGCTCCACATAAAGCTGATGAGGGTTAGAGACTTCAAAAACGGGTAAGTTCTACTGCTTTCTTGAAAAATACAGTCTTGCAGATAAGCTTTGTTGGTGCCACCTCTGAAAAATACAAAACCACTTAGGCTCATTCCTTGTTTCAAGGAAGTTACTGGGAAGGGGATAGTCTTTAGATAGCTCATCTACAGGGCATGCTTTTAGCTTCTTACTGCAGATCAGACGATCCAGTCAAGAAACATACTGCAGTAGCAGATGTAATTCCAGTCAATCCTGTTGTTCATAGATATCTTTGGTTTATTTGTTATTTGAATTCCGAATAGTCAGAGAAAGATGAGATCACTGTAGAATGATGTAATATCTGCAGGTACTGATCCCAAACCCTCTGAGTTTCAGACGTCCAGGTTATAAAATTTTTCCACTAGCACCATGATTTCCTCATAAGGGGGGAAACTCCACCCCCTAACTATTTGTAAATTCAGCACATTCTTCCAGTAGTTTCTCAACACTGACATTTCCGCTCAGTAGGTTCAGGCATTCGCAGTTCATAAAGAGTATCTGCAGACCTTAAACTGTATTTTGCATAGATACAAAATTCATTGCCGCTGGTGATGTGCTGGCCAAATTACAGTTCAACTTGGATAAACAATCTCTGCCAAATGCCACTGCGTACTACTGTAGAAGGGAATCAATAACTGTGTTGCAGTTCAAAGTCTGATATCTGTTTAAACAGCCGACAGAATCGACTTAGTGCCACAACACAAGTTTTATGATGAATCTAAGACTCATTTTTCTTTGTCAGCTTCGTTATTGTATGGTGACTGTAGCAGAGTGATGTACTGGGCAACTGAGAAACTTGCTGTTTCACAGTGCCACCACAGGATTTGCCATTCCCCTTTCTGCTAATTTTCTCTGGTTGGCAGCTGTCAGAAAATGCATATGCCTTTATAAGTAAACTTAAATAAGGAAAAGTTGTTCTAGAAAACAGCCTAGAATCTCAGTGACGGTTCTTTAACTCTGAGAGCCTTTGGGTTTTTTTGATCTATTTTCATGTATGTGACACGCTTCCCACTAGCTTTGGTGGTTTTTTAGTGTGAAGTTCTAATTTTAAAAAAAATTACTATATTTTGGAGAGGACTTTTGAAACCATGTTTCTAAATCCATTTCTGCAGACCACACACCACACTTCCACTGCAGCCCCACTTGTGCAGGTAGCTGCCAGTTTTCTAAACCAGAATCACATTTGCTGTGCATATGAGTAGAAAAGTGGGATTTTGTTGGTTTTTGTTCTTTCTCCACCCTCTACCTCTATTGAATACAGCCCTTAAGACTAGAACAATTAGCTTGTTTTCTTGCCTATTTTTTCCTCATCCATAAATCTCTGAGATTATTAGTGAAAGTTGCTTATTGGTTTGTTCTTATTTTGTTAGGTTCTGTTAAAATGAAATATTTTCATTTACTCTCATTTCAGTCCCTGCATGCTGCTCAGCTCGCTACAATCTAGCACTACTGGCCTTTTTTGGGTTCTTCCTCCTGTATGCATTACGTGTGAACCTGAGCGTTGCTCTGGTGGATATGGTAGAACCTAACACAAGCTTAGCAAAGAATACGACTTCCAATGTGTGTCCAGAGCATTCTTCCACCATAAATGTTCCTCGCAACACAACGGTGAGGTCTCAAACATACTGTCCTGTAATGTGGCATGTAAAGTGGTTTTAATAAAGTCTGTGACTGATGGCTCATACTTGGGTGGCTTTTTACCGGATGGCCTTTTCAGATGTTCTTTTAAAGCTATTCTGAAAAAATAATAGCCTTAAACTGACTAGCTAATTTAAAAGCGCTGTGCCCAAGGTCAGGTTTTTTACATACATCCTTTCTGTGCTTTTCCTTACAAATTGGCTAATCTGACTCTGTAGATCTTCTATGACTCACTGTTTTATATGCCAGTGATCAGCTGTTACTGTTATATCTGTGTCAGAGTTCTCATCACTGTTCATATTTGCCTGGTTTTTGTACATTCTCAATGGCATGAAATTTCATTACAAATTAACATGTTGTATTTTTCTCTTCATTTCTTTGATCTGTTTCTGAGGTCATAATTCTTGTCTTTAAATCCTTTATCTCTTCCAGTAATCTTTAAAAATCACACTTTCTTAACTGAACGGAACAGTTGGATATAAAAAAAATATTTAAAACACAACAAAGAAACAAACAAAAAAAAACCCCAAACCACACACCAACTTTGTGAATTCCGACTTGCATAGATCTCATAACTGAAGCTTATTACTGAGCACTCTTACCATCTTCCTGCCTTCATTTTCATTGCTTGTTTAGAGGTCATTTATTATTTATCCTGAGCGAATTATAACTGCAGACTTTATGGGAAGAAGATTCTGTCTCATCACTTCTGTGAAATATAAGCTGCTCACTTAGATGCCCATAAAATGGGACTTTTGGAAGAGATCCCAAACTTCACTTTATTGGGCAACAGTTACGTCTTTTTTGCTGATTTCCTTTATAGCTTCAGTCTCTTTTATCTCAATCATCTTTGCTTTTATTTCTTTATCTGCTAAACTCATCTTTCCTCTGTTGTGCTTTTCCCACTCGTCCACCTACCCTTATGAGTTCTGTCCTTGACTGTTCTCTTCCTTAATATTAAATTTAAGCATCTGCATTTCCGTGTTTGCTTTTCTGTCCGTAACTTTTCTGCATGAAAAGCCAATTTCTAGAGCATGACAGAATGTCCACACTGTGATACAAAAGTGGGATTCACTCTTACGCAGAGTACATAGTCTGTACCTGTGTCATCTAAACCAAGTTGCTTAGAACTCAAAATGGAATAGCTGACCACTTACATTTCATGTTGTGACAATTTTCATACTTGGGCTAGATATGTCTGGACAGACTGTAAACTACCTGAATTAGCTTTCAGCACACCTTTGATTGCAGTATGGATGTGTGTAGAGGAAGGAGACCCTAGGGAAGAGGCCATGAAAAATTTGTGATTTAGGTATAAAGAACTAAATAATGGATCAAAGTTATGTAAATATGTTCAGAAAAACTGCTGGTTTGAACTTACTGCTTGCTTTCTCTCTCTCCTCTCTTCTTTTTTTTAGGGAGAAAAATATTCTTGGGATGCTGATACTCAGGGATGGATCCTTGGTTCTTTTTTCTATGGCTATATCGTTACCCAGATTCCAGGAGGATATCTTGCAAGCAAAATTGGAGGAAAGCTGTTGCTGGGGTTTGGCATCTTTGGCACCTCTGTATTCACCTTGCTTACTCCCCTAGCTGCAAATCTGGGAGTTGGCTACCTCATAGCTGTTAGAGCCTTGGAAGGACTGGGAGAGGTAATGCTTTATGTAACTTGAAAATGTATCTGAATGGTATATTAATAAACTGTAGTCATTAGACCCTGTGGGTGGTGGTATGCTGGAGTAGTATAAGGATTTTTTCATTTTAAATAGCTTAGTTTTGTTTTTTCTTAATAAATAAAATGTTTGTCCTGTATTTAGCTGTTTGAATAAGAAAAAGGTTTTATTTGTAAAGATGTTTGAGACAGAACCAGAGCTAGCCTTCCTCATTTGTTAGAAACGAGGAGCTGAGAACAGTACTGTTTGTATTCTTGCAGCTTTTCCAGTATATAGACAATCAAAATCAGGAGAAATTAATTCTGCCTCCTTACTCTTATGCCTTGTGCACTTTTTAAAAGTGGTTTCTTACTAAACAAGTAACGAACATAATGTACTGTTTTTTTAATGAAATGCGCTTTGAGATATGCAAAGTTGAATGGGTTCTAAGATTGTTGCATTTCTACAGAATTAAATGTTGTTTTCTAGGGTGTTACCTTCCCAGCTATGCATTCAATGTGGTCTTCTTGGGCTCCTCCACTGGAACGCAGCAAGCTTCTTAGTATTTCATATGCAGGTGAGACATTCCCACGCTGATAATGGGATTATACATTTTTACTGCAGTAACAGGGAGGATTAACTTAAATCAAAGGGATTTATATTATAGATTTTAATTGGCATTTAATCTGGAAAGCATAATATTGAATTACATCTTGCTTTGTATTCGTTATGTTCATTCATTCATGGCTTTTATAACCCTGAGAAAAGGTACTGATCTACAACTAAGTATAAACTTCAGTCTAAGTTTTGTATAAAGTGCTGCAAAGAGTTACTGTATAGCTAATTAATACAAGATTCCGTAAATAAAGGAGATTTAGTGTTAGGAACAAAAGAGCTGGGGCAGAATCACAGGATAGAGATGTGTGTGGAGGAACTCAAGGAAGGAAGTGTCTAAGGTTCCAGGTGTTGCTGCAAGAGCTCCTTGTCAGAGTCCAGTACTCGCTGACTAGATTCTCTGAGATATTCTATGCATGGAAAGTGTAATGTTTGATATCAGATTTACTTGTCTGAAGATAGTTGTTGTTACACAGGATTTTTGATTTAGCAGTGTGATACAAAATATACTGAAAGCATAATACAAATGTAAGCTAACGCTTAGCAAAATATAGCAATTGCAGTATACGTTTGGGTCGAGGGCAGCTCAAGTCTCTTCTTTTCTTAGAAATTCTGTTGTTAGTCGTTTAGTTTTCACACTGCGGGAATACCCACATATTCCCTCATGCTGGTCTGGCTGACTCGGGGAGACAGTCACATGTTTAATGAACTCGAGGAGAAACATTTGCACCACCAGCTGATCCACTCAACTGACATAGCTGTTTATCTAAAACAAAGGCCACCCCGTGGTCCCCTTTGTATTTAGATGGAGTCTGCTTTCTTTGCAACAGCTGTGGTCAGCCACACCCTGCATTATTCCCTGAGCTTCATGGACCTACTGCTCTTGCACATCTCCAGTGGGCCTTCATCTGTTTTAGGGGTTCATTGTTCAGTCACATTGTTCAATGCTGTGTTTGTGGGGCAGGTAAAAAATATTGCTTTCTAAATGTGCTATTCAAAATTGATAGTATTTCTCCAAGGATGACAAATTTTGCTTTAGTTTCATGAAATAATGGCTTGTTTTACTGTCATTAGTATTAATCCTGTTGCAGCTCTCTTGTTCAACTGAGTTTCATCAAAAAGATGCAGCTATACCATGTAAACTGCAGCAATGGTTTCTCAAGCAGCTAAGCCAGTCTAGTGCTTCACTTGTGCCAACAGGGATGAAGCTTTAATCCTTTTTTTTCCTTCACATTTCCTCACTTTCCTCCTAGCCCAGTGTCTCATTCCTTCCTTCTTGCTATTTCAGGCACTCATCAGACCCTTCCATGAGACACTTAAACACACATAGTGCAGATTAAAGCTTTTTTTTTTTTTTTTTTACTTCTTCTTCTTTTTTGTGTCTGTGTCCTGCCTTATTATTGAATGAAATCTGCTTTGAAAGTCTTCATGTGAGAGGCAGCACAGAAGTTAAGCAGAGAGCACAGAGCTGGGATTGACATATACTGTATTTAACTGTTGAGAGCTTTTAAAATGTCCTATTGTAACTTGTGAAACTATATGATAATGTACTAGTGAGTTGAAGCTGTGGCCTTGAAGGGCCAATTGTTAGCAGTCATGGATGGATAAGGCATCTAGTGTAAACTTAGCTGAGTGTTCCCTTTGCCCCACATTTTTATGGTTGATAGTCATGTGGTCTGTGGTTTACTTAATCATGATCATGTTGATTTTCCGAGAGAACATATGATCAAGGTTGTATGTACTTGTTATTTTGATTTATATTTCACATAACACGTGGTTTTGTTGCTTGTGGTTGAAGCTCTCTTCTTCAAATAAAAATTATTGTTTTCATGAAGATGGAATCTAGGCAGCCAACATACCAAAATAATCTAATGTTTTCTGAGTTGAGATCAGGTTTGAAGAAGTGACCCTATAACTAACATTAAGAGACAAGGTCTACTATTTGTCAACAGTAGAGTTCCTAAGTATGTAAATAACATGAGTTTTCTCATTTAAATTTGGGGAGGCGGAAGACCTGGCATCCTTTGCAAAATGTATCTTGAATTATAAACTCAGGATTAGTTCTTTCCTGCTTTTGGCTTGTATCTGAACTGGAATCTTTACCTTTTTCCTTTCCTGTTTCTACACCCTGTCGAATTCAGTGACCATGGGGTTTGCATCCATGTAACTAGCAGGTTCCTTCTGGATCTTGGTTCTAGCATTCCTGTTTCTGTGGAGCTAGTAGGAGTTGTGAGAAATGCAGATATCAAGTCAGAATATTATTCCCCTACAAGTCCTTACTTATACTGTGATCAGTGCTCTCTTGTTTTTCAGCAACGCCAGTTCCATTGGTTTAGATGTACTAGAACCATCGCTCTATTGCAGAGGAATGTGCCAAGAATGTCTGTCTTACTGCTTTTCGCTTGTAGTTTTGGATGCTAAGGGCTTTGTGTCTCTTCTTACCTGGAGCTGCCAAGGCATCTTGTGCCTGTATTTCTTAAGGTGAAATGGCAGCCCTCTAGTGGTGGTAACTATTTCTGCATGATTAATTACAGAAAAAGAAAGTAACTGTGAAATGCCACTTAGCTTAAAGGGTCTATAGGAAATGTAATTATTGTTTTTCCACTTTGTTTTGCTTTCTACTGATAGGTGCACAGCTGGGAACTGTTGTCTCTCTGCCACTATCTGGTTTAATTTGCTACTATATGAACTGGATTTATGTGTTTTACATATTTGGTAAGTGGGGTGGGGTTTTTTTAATTATTAAAAGTACAATTTATATTCTTTTTGAAAAGCATGGCATATTACAAAAGTTACTTTTAGTTTTAAAAATGTTTATGACATGTAGGGTTGCTGTTTTATTCATCCTGGTAAATTAGAGATATTTAAAGCTAAGTAGATTCCTGTGTGTGGCTTTGTAAGCCTTGCGTCCAATGAGCAATGCTGTGTGTGAGTTGGACAAAAGCTGGCGTAAGTCAAATGCTCTTAACTCTCCCACCGCTTGGAAATAAGAGGCTGAAATTTCTTATTTGAAGTGTGAAATTGAGTTAATAACTTTAATCCCAGGAACAAACTTACACTGAGAATGAAAGAACATGTGAAAAGTTACTGCTGCTTTAAATGGAAATCGTGTGGAAAATCTCTAGCGGAGAAGGAAGGAATGCCCAAAATGCAAGGCATAGCACATTTACTGTGAGTTATGTTCTAGAAGAAGCTCAAACACAGAAAATACTTCCTAACACTATGTCATAGATGTAACTGATGCTTTTTATAGGTCTATTTACATGTCTGAGCTATTTCATATTCTGCGTGGGGATGGGAGGATCAGAATAAAAAAGAAGGATTACACTTTTCTCAACAAAACCACCTCCAATTTTTGTATAAATAGAAAGGGTTCACAACAAATAATTGGACAAAATGAAATAAGTTACAATATTATAGTTATGTAAAAGTACAGTTGATTTGGGCCGACTATTGAAAGATACCTTTTTCAAGTGACAGTTCTGGGGTTGGCTTAAAAAAGAGAAAGAGGATTGGTACATTAGTTAAGCTGTATGTAGTCATATCCTGTGTATGTGCACAAAGTATTTTTTGTGATTAGACTTAATACGATATTTTTTATTTCCTCTGGGTGAGCCATATGCTTTGTAGCTGTTCAGTGTGACTGATAAAAATACAATATGGATGTATATGCAACTTTCTTCCTGTATAAGGCACTTCCAAGTGGAAAGGAAAAAAACCAAACACACACAAAAAACAGCTTTCCTGCTCTTTATTGTTTATTACCTCTAAATGTGCATCGTTAACCCACTTTGGTGAACTACTGGCTGTAAGTAGATAGAAAAATACTATTCATTAAAATTAAGGTATTTGGAAAAAAGGCTTCTAAGTCATCTGAGAGTGTTAATCACCCGATATAATTGCTTGTGTTTTTATTTATATCTCTTCACCCATCTTTTCTCAACAATAGGTGCACTTGGCGTACTATGGTGGTTCTTCTGGATGTGGTTGGTTAGTGATACACCAGAAACTCATAGGAGCATTTCACATGCTGAAAGAGAATATATACTCTCTTCTCTAAAAGATCAGGTACAGCATTTTGGTATAGTCATACTTACCAAAGTAAAAACACAAACCACTAATATTGTCATTAGTGTCATGCTCTGTTGATGTCTAGAAAAACATCCTTAATCTCAGATAGAGGCAGAATTTGTCAAACAAAAAATTAAAAATATAGTGCAGTTGCAGAAGTGAGAAACAATTGGTAATAAAGCATTTATAGTAATGCCTTTTGTCACAGACATGGTTGTGATGCTTTTTAAGTAAAAAGTTCAAGTCTTCCAGTTCTTTTTAAGCTAGATCCAGCCTTGTATACCATCTTTAAACTTTACAACACAATGTTTTACAACTTCTTTCCCCTCCATGTGTCTTCTAGAGTAAGAAAGAGATCACTATTTGTGGAGAAAAGCATTTTTAAAATGCTTATGAGCCAGTTCCTAAAGTGTGCATAAGAGTTTATTCCTGTAACTGGGGGTATGTATATACAACCTGTGAGGATGTCTGAGAGACCAAAGTTAATATCTAGGATTGAGTAGGAAAGATTCAGCTAAATGAACACATGAGGGGTGACTTTAAATAATCAGTCATTTATAGTAAAAGCAGGAGGCAACAGATCTCAACAAGGGAAGGCAAACTTTTTGAAACTCTAATTACAAAATGTAATAGCAAATTGTTTACTTTGCAATAGTAAACAGAGCAGTAACATACATTCAGTGAGAACTGAACACATTAAATCACTGCTGATGAGTCACAGTCGTTAGATACAAGTCATTTTATGTCCTTCAGAATGAAATTTCAACAGATTTGGGTAGGATCAAAATACATATTTAGCAAATGTTCATATCAGTGTCCTGATAACTTTTTTTTTCTTCCTTTTTTCTCTGCCTTCTGCTTGCTAGCTTTCTACACAGAAATCTGTTCCCTGGAGACCTATACTGGAGTCCCTTCCACTCTGGGCTATCGTTGTGGCACACTTCTCTTATAATTGGACTTTCTACACACTACTTACACTCTTGCCCACATACATGAAGGAGATCCTGCGGTTTGATGCACAGGAGGTAAGATAAATAAAAATGATCACTTTCTTCTGAATTAAAGAAATCAAATAGTAGAGATCTTCCATGTTGTTTAGAATAGAGGAACCTGTTTAAGAACCATGGAATGTAAATACATAGCTGGGAAATGGTAAAATAAATCCTCAGAATTAAGAAGATGCATTGAAAATATTGCTTGCCTTGTCATTTCCTTCCCCTCACCACCCCCCAGGACTTATTTGACATTTAGTTTAATGCTAGCTTTTGAGCTCAGTCTTCTGGTTGAAGATGCATGTTACCTGTTTTTAACTGCTCTGATTTAAAACAGTAACCATAAAAATATTTTTCTCTCTTACATGGTTGGTATGATTGCTTCAGATTTTTGTAGCTTGTTTTATGATTTCTGAAACAATATCTACTATTACTTTGCTCACTCATAAAGGAGAACATTTCCAGTTGAAAAAGAAAACTAAGGAAATAATTGGACAAATGTAATTTTTAAAAGTATTTCAGTGTTTTAATTGTCTTTTATTTGTTTATCTCCTTAACAGAATGGTTTTTTGTCTGCCCTACCTTATTTTGGCTGCTGGTTATGTATAATTCTATCTGGGCAAATTGCTGATTACTTACGGCAAAACCAGAACTTGTCCACTGTTTGTGTCCGCAAATGTTTTACCCTAATAGGTAGGTGCAAGTATCACCTCTGTTTGGAACATATCACAGTATCAATCTGAAAAACTGAAGGGTTTGGGAAAGTAGTATGACATTCTGCTGTGAGGTTAGGCACCATAGTGCATGGCTTAAGAAGAGCAGCTTTATTTATATGTTAATTTGTCAAGAGTAAATATTTTTCCATTAAGAATTACACCTTTTTGATAAGAGATCAGTAAGAAATTACCAAAGCTTTGTTCAGGTCAAGAGACATAATTTTTACAAGCAAACTGATTAAATAAATGGTCAGGTAGAATCACCATTAAAGTGGTGATAATTGCTTGACAGAATGATAAATGGCTTTCTCAAACTGAGATAAGATATTGTTCTGCATAAGCCTATTCCCAGCCCTGTGGTGTTCAGTGCTTTGTTTGTTAAAGACTTAAGTAACTGAATGCACTTGTAAAATTTACAATTGCTACCAGGGTAGGAAGATCAAATAGAATCCAAAATGGTCTTGACTAATTGGGAGGAGGGATGATCTGAAATCACCAAGAAATCAACAGGATCAGGTTATTAATGAATGCAGATAAAATACTGTATTTAGGAAGGAGAAGTTGATTGCTGATTAAGAGCGTGAGCAGGGGAAAGAAGGGAAATAAAAGAGATTACACACAGGTTCCATGCAAGTTGCAGCCTGTTTTATGTATGCCCACCCGTGCTGCCTTTTCAGTTCTTCTGATTCAGTTGCTTTCTTTAAAGCAGCTTTTATAATATGTTCTCAAGCTTTTTTCTCTCTCTCTTTTTTTAAATATTTATTTATTTATTTTAAGCCTACACCACTTTGGTGATCCAGTTTACTGCAGGGCCTTACACCCGAGCATGTACAACTGAGGGGGACACAAACTGTTGTATTAGGAAAAGCAGGACTTAAGTTGGCTTCATCAACAAAAGCGTATCTTTGGAGCTGTTTGCAGAGGTCACGATGGAGTCATGTAAATAGGCTGTGGTACTAGGAAATGGGTACCAAAGCTCACTGCAGACAGGAAGCAGCATGCACTAGCTCATGATGGCTGCTAAGCTGTTTCCAATACCTGGTGTAGCATCTCTAAAGCTAGCCTGGGTTTTCTAAATTGTACAGCAGGCTCCAGTATAGATATTACCAGGTGTTCAAATCTTGTAAATGTGTAATAAAACTCATTCTAGAATGTGCCTACAGGAGAAATATGCACATATATATACATACACATTTATATGTGTGTATATGTATGTGTATGTATATATATGTATTTGTATGAACTCTTACAGCTCTGCTTTATTATGATCTGCAGAAGTCGAGGTTTGTTCCTGACATGTGGAGAGTTAAATGGGGATAATTTCTTTGCAGTGCACTGTTCACCTACCAGTGTCAGTGTGGCTTCTGTTATTTTTATAATAATAAATAAATTTTGTAAAGTCACTTTAAGTATCTTTGAATTGTGTTAATTTCTATTTTTTTAATATCTAGTTGAAGTTTAATTTTTTGCAGCTAGACTGGGATTTTTCTGGTCTGGTTACTCCTGAGGCAGTAACAGGCTTGACAACCCATCTGCTCTTCCTTACAGGCCCACTGTAATGCATGTAATGCAGTGCTGGATTCTGTACACTAGGTGGTGGTGGAACTTACATAGAAAATGCATACACAGCTTGGAGCCTCTTAACGTGTCTCACGTTAAAAGTCCATTGATTCTAAGATTTCTGTCTTAAAGGAATGATTGGACCTGCAGTGTTCTTAGTAGCAGCTGGATTCATAGGTTGCAACTATGCACTGGCTGTTGCATTCGTGACCATATCAACAACACTAGGAGGATTTTGTACATCTGGCTACAGCATAAACCATCTGGACATAGCACCTTCGTAAGTATTGGTGAAGCTATTTTTAGTACACGCAATACATTTATGACCATGGTTGTTTGGTTTTTTTATTGCTGGGGTGCCTGGAGGCTTAGCTGTGGGCCATGTGCTATACAGATGTGGAATGGAAACACTGACAGTGACTCAGGTTTACAGTATGAAGCACTCTATTTGCAAAAAGTGCAAGTCTGGCAGAGGGTATGACATGAACAACAGTTTAGAATAATTAAATTTTGGATCCTGCAGTAATAAATTATATAATTCCTGTAATTACATTTACTAGATTTTTGTGCTATTCAATTTGTGATCTTTATAGGACAATGTCATTGGAACAGCATGATACAATTAAATTTTCCACTCTTACATTTTTCCATCAGAGACATCAAGCTTTAGGATGAATGTTAACATATTTAAGCACTGTGGTAAAGGTAAATTATTTGTATTTGAAAAATATTCTATACACTGGTTTCAAAACCTTGTTAGGAGTAGGTGACCTGCTATCAGTAGGTAACAAATATAGTCTTAAATGACTAACTTTTAAGAATGGGAAGTTAGACTTCAGTCTGTAATTCCTCCAATGTGTTACAAATGCAGAATCTGACAGATAGCTCAGTTTCCTGAAGAGCATGGATGTATGTGCAGTCTTTTGAAAGTCCACAAGAGCATTCTTTGCATTAGTAAAAGCAAAAGCATTCTTTGCACTTTGCTTTGTCATTCATTTACCTGTTTGGAGTAGCAAATTACTTAGAAGTCATTTGATGCTGCTCATCTGTATTCTGTAGTAAGGTGTAAAGTGAAAAGAGTTTAAGTGTAAGTGAAGAGGGGAAAAAAACATTTTGTAGAAATGTTCTTACAAAAAAATTTCTTCAGATCTGGAGAATTAATATGGGAGACCTCAGGTCCAAATTGAAGATGGGATCCAGGCTTTGGCAATTGGAAGGATGGTGATCATGTCCACAGTGATGTACAAGTTTTGACTTAAAAGACGGATATGAAATAGTGGGACTCCAATTAATCTGGGTAGGTGAGATTAGGTAGCAAGCAAGAGGGAAGGTGTCAATGGCCAGCTACACAAAGCTTGTACTATGACCTGAATATGAAAGCTTCTGTGATGGACTTTATCTGAAATCAAGTAGAACTACAAATTTAGAAAATGTAGTTGAAGTGGTGCATCTTGAGGTATTATGGGCCATTATATAACTTCTGTTTCAAGCTTAGCTTTGCAGAACCACAACATTTAGTTTCCTAGAAATGTCAAATGTTGGCTAAGAATTGGAGTTATTTGTTTTTATGTCTCTGTGTTTAAAAAATAGAAAACATAAGCATTAATGTCAAAAGACATTACTACTGTAAGTTGCATAATGGCAGAACTTGGCTATCTGTGTAGTTTCCATTTGCCTCTTTTTGTCTGTGCGTCAGAAGCTAGTCTTTTTGTCATTGTATTAGTATTCCCCTGCACAGGATGGATCCCACTCTAGAAATGACTGAGCACTGTACTGAGAGGGGGACTGGCATTCATTCATTAAGTCCAAGCTTAAACATCTCATCTGAGAAACTAATGTTGGATCCAGTGAAACTAATTGAGGCCTAGCTGATTTATTGCTTGGTTTTGTATGCCTCTTCAAACTACTAAGTTCTGGTTTGCAAAAATGGTATTACTCGGAGTGCAGACAGAAGTCAGTGGAGCTGTGCTTTGAATATATGAATACTGCTGTTAAATACTCTTGAAATGAGATCCTGAGGATCTCAAATCAAGCATCTGGTAGACACATACATTCTCAGCCTATGTTTTAATTTCATATCTATAGGCTGGGTTTCACATTGTCACTCCCATCTCTCAAGGGTGTTGTGAAAATAAACTAATATTGTGAAGAGTTGTACTGGAAGCGTTTGGGATGATTAAAATTCTATTTGCAACAGCTGAATAGTACGCAGAAAGCAAGGCTTGGGTCCCTGCACTGAGCAAGTGCAGTGAAACAAAATATTAAATGGTGCTCATTAAGTGAGTACAATTCATCCTGTCCACTGAGTGCAACAGAGCTGTCACAGGAAAAAGGAAATCATGTAACTGCCTCTGTGAGGCACATGCACAAGGTAATTTTGTATGCAGTTGATGGCTGAAGTTTCCAGAACTAGGACATTGTGTATGTTTTCTAATTTGAGAGAGACTTCACTCTGCATTACTAATGTGTTTATTTCAAGGGTCAATTTGTATGTGACAGCATAAAGAATGTTTTAGGTGTTGAAAAAAAGCACAAGAATCATGTGGCATGATGCTAATACACGTCAGCAGACATAATTAGATTCACCACATGCACTGCTGCTGATCCCTCTGACCAAATCCCACTCTATTCTTCCTACCCTCGACAAAGTCCTGCTTTTGTTCCCTTCGCATTTAAACCAGGCAAGTTCCTCTAACCCTGCTTTCCTCTCAGATAGGCTGAAGGGAGCATACTGATTACGAGTGCAGGAGAGGCAGGTGTCTTGCTGATAGCTCAGGAACTTTGGCCCGGCATTGCCTCTAGAGGTGAATGGCTGCATGTGAGGAAAAACTTTCCTGGATGGGAACGTGGTCAGGGTAGATGCTGTTTTATTGAAATCAGCAATTCTCTATTCAGCACATGCACGCTTCAATTCAGAGTAAATCTGTCCAAATGGAGACAGAGAAAGAAAAGGGCATGTCCTTGTAACAAAGGTCATAGGAAAAAAATTCTTCAAATACTGATACACAAAAACATCTAAGAGAGAAAAAAGACTTCCCTCCTCCTCCCCCCCACCCTTAACTTTTTGTGACTGTCTGAACTTTGTTGGATGAAATAGTCAAGGCAGACATTCACAATTTCAAGGAAATGCTTGACATAGTTGTAGAAATCTGAAAATGAAGTTTGCATAAAATTGTGAAGGAAACTTCTGGTAAGAGTTTACCCAGAGCTTCATTTCTTTTAATTTTTTTTTTTTATTTACTGAAAGATATTAAAGTAACCAGAAGTGTTTCCAAGCAGTTTCAAAATGCACTTAAATGCCTTTTTTAATTGGTTGTAAGTATGTTGACTAGAATAGCAGTGTCCCTTGTTGCTACTGAAATTTGCATTATACCAAAGAAATAATTATCGTATTCACAGAAAAAAGTGAATGACAATACTGATACTGAAGGACAAACAATATGTGCTATGTGCTATTTGGTTTCTAACGTGTAATTATAATAACATCAGTGTATTGAATTGGGGGGAGGGAGGGAGAGGTTGGGAGAGAGACAAGATTGTTCATGTGGGGAGAATGTATTCTATTTTAGCTCGTCAGATCTACATCAGTATGTTGCCATGATTACAATTTTTAGTTCTGCTGTTACCATGGGTCCTCGTAATATTCCCGTGGCTCCTATTTTACACTGAACACTGCACATACATCTCACATTGGTTTTTTTCACTCTTGATTTTACTACTTAACTGCTCTGCAGGTCGATTTGTATTTGGTTATCCCCAGAGTGCCATAAGAGCCTGACCAACAGCTTACTATTGGTCTTGCTCTACAGACATGTCACTTTTTGCTTTCCCATTTCATATGGGAGTCTCCACTGTGCTGAGGGAGTGGCACAGCAGTTATCTGCATCAAACAGCAAGCGTTATCAAGAATGCAACCTATGTCAGAAACACTGGGCATAACCAGAGGCATTTAGCCAGCAGTTCATTGCCAGAGATCTTTGGTGTGCAGGGAACCTATTAAACTATGTCTAGTTTTTAAAGTGTGTTTTATCAGTGTTGTAGTGTTTAAACATGTTGAAGACAAAATGCATTTGGTTCTACCTAAAGGTTTTACATGGAGTTTTGCTATATATGCTTCTCTTCCTAAGGGAAGCTTTTACACTTTCACATTCAGCTTCATGAGGGTCTATTCATTCTTAAACACTTTCCAAGAAAAGACGACTATATGCTATGTTTATAAAAAATACAGATCATTTTAATTAAGTCATTGAAGCTCAGTTTAAAATACACTGCCATGCTTTAAACTGATATGTAGTATTGACCTTCAGGAAAAAGATCGGGGTAGGACTAGATAATTGATTCTCTTAGGGGGAAGAAAAAAAAATACATGTTTCTCTGATATTGTTGGACTGGATATACATACAACAACCTTTTGTAACAATACTGTATGGTTGAATTCTCATGTTTTGGTAAATGTCAAAGCTATACATCTCTCTTTCAAGATTAAATTATACTGGTAAGGACATAATTTCACTCTGCCAAACAGCCTAAAGTGATCATTGGGCAATAACTCCTTTCTCCTATGCTAAACTGCAACTATCAGTATTTTGTATGATTCTTCAGCCAGCAAATCTGCCTTGAAAATCTGAAATGCAGTGATTTGTGCTCTAGTGGTTGGAAGGTCAAGCTTTGCTGTAGAATGTCTAGCTCTTATTTCTCTTCAGTCTCTCTCACAAGTCTGCACTTGTGGTACAGTTTCAAACTTTTGGTATTGCAACATGCCTATGAGAGTGATTTTTTAATTACCTAGAGATGAGGTGCTGAGACTCAGATATTAAGCAAGTTACCAGCTTTTCCCACCAAGTTTTTATGGCTGCTGGTGCATATGTGATAGTGCAACATGTTCATGGAACAGGAAGCTTCAGAATGGAGCTGCAAGAATGGAAACCAGCAGAACTGGTTAAGTCAGACCCATTTCCCATTGGCCTTGACCCAGAGAAAGCTGAAGGGAAGCACTACCGCAGCATTCTGAACTCAGGTCTTTGGAACATACAATCTGTAGTGTAAGTGGGGATATCCCCCACTTGTGATATTACCTTCTTGGTGGATACTTTTTAGCAGTAATACCTGAACAGATTCTTACTGTTGCAAAACAGCGCTCCATCATACTCCTTCAAGACATGCAATGTTTCTTTTCTAACTTCTTTGATGGATCATTCCAGGCAGTTTGGTTGTGGCTTAGCAGAGGCGATATGGGTTTGGGTTAAGGATCCTGGGCAAAGTCATGAGTAACTTAAGTTAAATTCCATAACTAGCCACTGGAAAATTGAGATGTGTAGAATCATAGATTTACTGAGGTTGGAAAGGGTCTTTAAGGCCATTGAGTCCAGTCATTAACCTAACATTGCCAAGTCCACCACTAAAAATGTATGTACTAAGTTGTTAGCGAGTTGTTACTAGAATAAAAGCAAGCCATTCCCAGTGGGATATGTGTGGTTTAATTTGTCTGCATGGTCAAGCTGAGGCCTATGTTACCAGGTTAGGCAAAATTGTTTCCATGACTGATAGGCCAAATAAATTAATAAGCAGCGTTAACAATTTATCTTGCAGATATGCTGGAATTCTCCTTGGGATCACAAATACTTTTGCTACTATCCCAGGAATGGTGGGGCCAGTTATTGCCAAGAGCCTCACTCATAATGTAAGTCTGCTTACAATTTTTTCAGTTGTTATACTTTTATCTCCATTGAATGGGAATTCTCTCTTATCAGGTCTTGGAAGTCTTTTCATTTCTTCTAAGTGAAATCTGTGTTATATATATATAGATCATACTGTTCCGTTGTTGTGAATGACTTGATTCCTAGCCTTTATTCTTCTGATTCTGATAAGGAAAATACAGGTAAAATTGAAGACCTCTATGGGACTTCAGAACTGTAGTGACTTGCCCCTTATAATGTCTAGGGATAAAATAAATACGCTTCTATCATGGTAAAACTGTTAAAATGCAAACTAGATGAGACAGTTGTGGGATTATTTTAGCAAATTCAGACAAGTTCTTACTTGTGTTTTTTAAAATCAGGCTCTTAGATGAGGTGTTGAGTTGTAAGGTCAGCATTTTTCAGATGAGAAACTAGATTCAAATGTGTGGGTTTTATAATGCATCCCTTTGTATGCATGTTACAGGATTAGGACATTCTAAGCTGTGTAAGCTCTCTTTACTATGAGGGTGGTGAGGCACTGGCACAGGTTGCCCAGAGAAGCTGTGGCTGCCCCATCCCTGGCAGTGTTCAAGGCCAGGCTGGACGGGGCTTGGTGCAACATGGTCTAGTGGAAGGTGTCCCTGCCCATGGCAGAGGGGTTGGAACTAGATGCACTTTAAGATCCCTTCCAACCCAAACCTTTCTATGATTAGTATCACAAGATACCTAGTTTGAACAGTGTTATATTTGACTTGCAAGATGGTTTAGTTGAAGGGTGATTTGGAGCAGAAAAAATTATTTTTTTTTTTAAATCAACTATATGAATTATTCTAAAATCTTTTAAGAAAGGAAGATGGGAGAAGTAAGTTTATTGATACAGTTGAATTTTTGGAGTTGGTGATCACTCCAGTGATTTCTTTGAAAATAATATGGAAAAAGTCATTAATACATGAATCCCCAGACAAATTAGTTCTTCCAGATATCTTAAGAAGTGGGATATTTGGTTTTTTGGTTGGTTAGTTGGTTTGTGGTTTTATCCTATATTAATGCACTGTTCTGGTATTACTCTAGTTTTTGTAGTTAGATTAATTACAGATTTGTTACAGTAGTCATCAAATTAACCCTCTAACCTCACTGTCCCTCCTCCCCCCCAAAAAATACCAAAAAAACCCCAAACAAACAAACAAAACAACAACCAAAAAAAACCACCAAAAAAAAAAAAAAACCCAACTTAGGACATCTACAGATACTAGCTCTTTATTTGCTACCTTTGTCTTAAGGCCTTTCTTATGTAACAGATTTTAGAGGATTCCTCTTGAAATCTGAGAAAAGATAGCTACCTTGTTTGGGCTAAAAACCTTGTGAGTCTGGAATATCCACACGGTAGTCATTAAGAACAGCTTACTGCATAGTGCAGAGCACTTCAGCTCTTGGATTACCTGACTTGAAAGCAAGGTAGCATTTCCATTTATAGTAATATTCTCTGAGTTTGTGTAGTCTTTGTGCAAATGTGATTTTTTGATATGAACGTTCTGAATCTGAGATGAAAAACTGATCCTGATAGTCTAATGCAATTCTGATAGGACTGCGTAAGCTGTATTATTAAACTGAAGTGGACTATGCTGCTGATTTGATCTTTTATGTTTACAGTGCTTTTATGTTGCTATGAAATCATGCTGAATAACATTTACATTTAAATAGGCAAAGTATGTAGCGTCAGCTTAGAAATTACTTTTTCTTGAGTGTAGAGCTGCAAATTGACTGCTTTTTTTTTTTTTCTTTCCCCCTTTTGACAGAATACCGTGGGAGAATGGCAGACTGTTTTCTATATTGCTGCTTCTATTAATCTATTTGGAGCAATTTTCTTTGCATTATTTGCAAGTGGAGAAGTTCAGGACTGGGCAGTCAGTGGATATCACTTGCACAGAAACTGAAAGTGACATTGAAATACCAAAGTTGTGCTAAAACCCAATGTGCTAGAATTATGTGACCGGAAAAGTGCCTTCCCTACTGGTGCCTAGGAATCTTCAGTGCTTTTCAGTTAAACTATTTTATCTGTGTATCTTTTGTAATGAAAATAATTTGACAGCATATGTGTGCTATTTCCTAACAAGAAACTACTTGGATTAAATATAAGAGTTTCATGCTAGGACTTGATATCAAATACATGATCGGAGAACATTTTAAATCTCTGTGCTAGGCTCCAATTCTTTCCAGTTTTTAATTAATATTTTCTGGATTAATGTGTAGGCAGATGTTTGTTGATACTGAAATGAGAGGAAAAAGCAAAGTGATTATGTAGCACTGTAAAAAGGAATGGCCTGCAAAGAATTGCACCCAAAAAAACTGTTTCAATTTTAATTATGGTTTTTTGCTGGTTTTGGATAGGTTTTTTGCTGTTTAAAAGTCTAGCAGAGCTCTAGTTTTCTATAGTCTTTTATAATGCTTTTTTGTCAGGGTTTTAATTGATTAACGCACAAGGTTTCAATATATAAACATTCCCTGTTCCGTGACTACAGCTTCACAATTGATACAGAGCAATGAGGAAGTAGAATATACTGTTGTGACTGACAGAATAAGCCATGTGTTACTACTGTGCTCTGTGATGCAAGTTTTTTAAATAGGCCTCAGTTTTATTCATCTGTGCAAAGAAAAAGCAGTGCAACTCTGTGGTTTAAATCTAGGCAGCGTGCAAGAGTGAACTAGAAATAGAGTATCTGCATGCTTAAAATAACTTTCAGTTTGTCAGGGTTTTTTTTGTCTCTCTAAATTAACACAGTGGAATTCTTTCTTCTTGCATGTAGATATATTTGTCAGCTTATCAGTGTAAATGCAATAAAATAAGGCCAGGGTAGGGAATAATGAGGAAAACCAGTTCTCTAACAGCTTTGTTTGTTAGTCAGGTAAAAGTAGAGTAAAAAAGAACTAATGCAATGACCTGATGCTGTTAGTCTCCTATCAACACAGAATTTGACACTCGAGTATCCTTTACACAATATGCAATTAAATGCCACACAGTAGAAAACAGAGGTTCTGTTAAGAACAAATGGCTGAATAATCTTGTAGTCACAAAGCAAAGGAAAATTCCTGTGCCAAAGATTCCTGGATTGGAGCAACTAGGTAAAGAGAAAAATCACTGGGCTCTGGGTTTTTCATTTACCACCAATCCAAAGAAAAGCCCAGTATGAAAGCTGCTCCAGTGGAGCCTACCTTCCTTCATTTCTAGGAAATGGCATCTGCCTCTTCTTTTTAGCTTTAAGAGCCATTTTTTGATGTTCCTTGAAGTGTCATGTTCTCTGATGGTGGAACTGTCTTTAAATCTGCGTTTGTGTCTGCAGTATTTCCACAATAACCAGTATGAAGTTCAGATTAAACTAGTAGTTGCTCAGTGGGAATATGTTAAAGCTACGTTGTGTCTTTAGTGTTTCCACAATAAATGTAATTAATATTTTCATGTGCATCTGTTGTTGAAAATGGCAATCTCCCTGAAGTTAGAACACCATTCTCAAAAGTATGGTGAACAAGACTGGGGACTGGATTAAGGGATGATTAATATTTTCCTGGAAAATTACCTGCTTCAGAACTTTCTTGCCTAGCTTTACAGGTGAGTACTATCTTCCACTTGACACTCTATTAAAAGGAGTAATTTCACTTTGTGTTTACATGTATTTATATTCTTTCAGTAGCCTTGGTTAAAAAGGGGGGAGAGGGAGCTAAAACAAATTTTAAAAAAGCTTTTGGATATAGATAAAATTAATTTATGACTTTGCTTTTCTAGAGATCATGAGCCATGTTCTTTATGAACAGGGTTGCTATTTCACCTGTTCTGAAGTTAGAAACTTCAGCTTCCCACGCTTTTAGTCTTTTCTTTGAAAATAATTCTGTTAAACATAAAAATTAAAAAAATAGATGTCAGGGAGTAAATGCAGTAGAAGTGAATGTAGACTTTCACATGTATGGCTGAAATGAGCCTAAACTAGATTCAGTTTAAAATGAATCAATTTTAGGCATATCAGCAACTGAGCAGCCTAGAAATTTTAGACCTGGATACTAGGATTGTTTATTTTCTGGCTCATCTAATACATCATTAATATTATTTTTTTAATACTGTGTAACTTTTAAGTGAGCTTGGAAAGTGGGACTAAAAAAAATTGATAAAATCCTTATTTTGTTTCTAGACAACTCAGTAGTACAGAACTACTTCCAGTGTTATTTTAGAAAGTATCAAAACATAGAATGGCATTCTTGCTCTTGATTCAGTAAGACTCTTAACAAACAAGAAAACCCACCAAAACGTTTAAGTTTTACCTTTCTGCATTGTGTTTACAAAAAGCAAAATCTGTAGGAAAAAGCTATCAAAATATTTTCTGCTACTCATGGTATGTTTCTATTGCATTGCCATGTTCCTGTTTGCACAGCTCTCTTTGATCTCTTTGGAAACATTTCTCATATTCTGTGTTGTCAGAAGTAGCAAGGGGCTTGAGTACTGCTTGTCTCAGTCCACCTTTGTGACATACCTTTGTGAGCAGGTATTTTGTGGTTACTCTTTTCCCGAAACAGTCCTGTGATTGTTATGTTTTGCTGCATTTCCTTAACAGGTGTGCCAGAGTAAGAAGTTGTGATCTCTGTTCCATCAAGAACCCTCTAATACAAGGATATCCACCTGGAATGAGGGAAGTCGGTTCAAAACTAGATTTCACCCATTTCAGAGCAGGAGCTGAACCTCTGCTTTGGGAGCATGTCTTAGTGTTGCCAGGTATTTTTACGTGCATTCTCCTCAATGCCTCCTTCTGACACAGTTCTACTTAAATTTTTTTTATTTTTTTTATTTTTTTTTTTTTTTGAACATTCAATGCAAAGTTCTACCAATATTAGTGACAGAGATGGAATAACTCTTTGTAGAATAACCTACAGCATGTGACATGGGTGTTGACCTGAGATGTAAGCCATGATCTTTTACAGCCTGGAAAAGTGCCTTCATCATGCTTTTCGGAAGAAGGAAGGCCACAAAGTAATAGTTGTGTTTCTCAGTTCACTATGTCTTTGTTCCAAAGATACCAACTGTCAATCATGCACCTTAAAAAATCTGAAGTATTTGACACCCAAAAATATGAGTTAACTTGTGTAGGCTTTTTTAATGCTAAACTAGTGAAAGTTTATATAACTTCTGATAATGCGTAGGCACCCATTCATACTGCTTCCCCAGCTACATGTTCCTCTGTAACTGGTAATGACTGTATTTGCTATGTGCAAGGATCATATTTCCCAGACACCAAATTGTTCCTGTGATGTATGTCTCTCTGGCTTGTCCTCTCAATCACTTCTTGACTTAATTGCCAATTTCTCCTTTTCTAATTTCTGGGAATGTTTCATCCCATGATAAATTAAGTTTTAACATGTCTTCCAATATTTCTAGCATTTGCCAGGAAAGAAAGCTGTGGGTGATGAGGCCTACACATTACAAAGATAAGTGAAACAAAGTTCATAAGGAAAGGTAGTGTCTTCTGGTAGATCCCTTGGAGCATCTGGGGAAGAGAGACATGCTTTTAAATTTCAATTCTCTTATTTTACATTGAGCTCAACCATCATAACTAAAACATCATTGTTGTGTTTTGTAAGCTGTTACAGTGAGTGGCATTTTAAGAGGATCTCTCATTTCTCTTGTGTACCTGTATCTCAAGAGGTCAAATCAAACAAAAGAGGTCAAAATGATTCTCTTTCAAACACTAGTTGGCTGGCCAAATCCTTTTCTGATACTTGTCAGTAAAGATGCTATCTCTATAAGTACAAGGGCACTGGCCTGAGCTGTTATACTGAAGAAGATATGTCTGACCTGGAGCTAAGGAAGAGATATAATTTGATGTCAGTGATTTAGTATTAACACATTTTGCTATTACTGTGCTCACTGGGAAGAAGCCACCATGGTTGCATTAGTGTATTCACTAGCAGTGAAGTAGGTAATCCTGAAGATAAAAAGAGGATCTTGTGGGGATAAGTACTTAAAGAGAAGTTGGTTAACCTCATGTTGGTCTCTTTTATATGAGTAAGTATGAGCCGTTTTTTATAAATGCATTTGTTTAATCTAACAAATCAGACGGAACTAGAGTCAACTCAAAGTTTTGCTTCACTCATATAACAGGTATTAATATATCTACAGTTCTGTATCTCATGGACTATGTGTTTATAATTCTGAAAAATAGCTTAAGAAAGGGTTCATTTATTTACACTTTTTGTGGTGGTATAGTCTGTTGCAGAAGTAATTCTTGCCATGTTTAATGCAGGAGTAAAACAGTGAGTTTAAATTTATTTCAATTTCTTACTCTCTGCCCAGCAGCATTGCCTGTAGCTCCAGTAACTGTTTTATGTCAGGGTGTTAGTTATTAACGCTTCGTAAGATTCAAATAGCCAGAAAAAGAACTACAGGAAGACACCAGCACTTATTTAAATCCAAATTGCATGACAAATGGAGGGGGTAGCACACAAAAGCATGCCAGAGCATAAAAAAAACTGCTACCTTGAGTGAGAAACTGGAAATCCTTCCCATTAAATCACCATTGCAACCTTCCTACTTCTCCTCCATAAAGCTCCCATAATGGTGGTTGGTCATACATTTTAAACTAAAACTACATCTAAGTGATTCAGATCTGTGACATAACAATCAGGTGTTTACTGTGTGTAAAACCATTAATCTGACTTAACTCTTGGTTATTTCTGAGAAGCAACAATACACATCTGGCCAGCGTAGTTCTTGAGTCATAACTTGTTCCAGTGAAAATTGCATTTCTTTGAGAAAAGTTATTTCCATGTGAAATTTTAACTGTTCGGGCTTATCAGTCAAGCAGTGCTCTCCTAAGAGCTGCATGTGTTATTTTAGAGAAGTAATTTTCCTTATTCTGTGTAAGCTCTAAAAATTCTGAATTGATTTTTGTTTCTCAGTAGCCAATGTAATAAGATTACACAGTGGCAGAGTTCAGGCCTGGATCAGACACAAAACATGAAAACTCAGGTAGCAGAGTAATTAAAAAGAAGGTTCAGATTTTCACATGAATGCAAATTAACTTTAGAATAATAGTAACTTTGCTCTTATTGCAACATCACCTGTACAAGGTTGCAACACACTGCAAGAGAGGGTGCCTGGAAGTTGACGAAAGTATAGCAATAGAAGGAGATTGTGGCTTATTAAGCCAAAATTCTGTTTGCCCTGAAGTGCTCAGGCAGTTAGACTAGATGATCATTGTAGGTCTCTTCCAACTGAAATATTCTATTCTAAGACCTAAGATTGCTAGTCCCACTGAGCGCTCAGTAGCTCTAATGCT